ATGATGATCCAGAGAGTAAGCTGTGGTGCCCAGTACAGACAAAAGGAGCCAGGCCTGGGTGTCCAGACCAACTGTGGCCTTAGTGCTTGGTGGAAGTTGGAGGGATGCCCCCCCATTCAGTCTCTCTGACCTTCCACACGGTAATGAAGATCCCGCCCTCCTCACCCAGCGGGCCCCTCTGTAATCGGCTTCCCTGGGGATGTTTGAGCGAAATGGAATAGCGAGGCAGGCAGGGAAGAAGGGAGGGAGAACTGGTTATCGCTTCCCCTCAGCTCCAAGTGGATAATTACACAGCTCTCTGAGCCCCAGGACTGGGCCAGGCGGCAATCCATACAGACAGCCTTTCAAAATTAATGGGACTCCAAGGGGTTTGGGGTGGGGGAGCACCAAGGCTGAAAGAGGCTGAGGAGAGAGAAACTAGACTTGGGAAGACTGTGTCTGACAGAAAGAGCCCAAGATGCAGGGTCTGAAGCAGAGATGGAGGGAAAGAGCAGGAAAGTTGAAGGGAAAGAGAGGTTAAGTCACCTGCTCAGAGTCACACAGCAACAAAGCTGGGATTTGGCCTCTGTTTGTCTGTGTCCAGAGTGCATGCTCTTCACCCATTCCATGGTGGACCTTCTCCCTCACTGAGAAAGTCCCTGGAAACAGGCCTTCAGCACACAAACCCTGCATCAGAGCTGCTTCCCGTCTGAGTGAAAGTAGGGACCTAGGGAAGAGCAGTGACTTCTGTAGATGTGAGGGAGGAAAAGGGAGCAGGTGTGACGGATCCTTCCAGTCAGCTCGCACGGGGCCCCTCCCTCCCCTGTTGGAACTGAGGGCACCTCTACATCCGCCCCTCCGCACCCCCAGCAGTATGCCTCTCTAGCATGCTTCTGGATTTATCTGGAGTTTGGTTTATAGTTATTGTGTCAATGGTAATCTCTTAGTTCTATAAATGTACCATGGCTATGTGAGATGTTATCAGTAGAAGGTATACAGGAGCTATTTGTACTATCTTTGTAGTTTTTAGATTCTTCCAAAATAAAAAGTTTATTATAAAAAACCCACAACCAACAGCAGATTGCAGCTGTTGGTTGGGGGCAGGGAAGGGGGTTAATGAGGGGAGAGGTCAGGGCCCCAGAGGGGAACTGGGGTGCGGAATATTGATGCAGGCCCCTACGGCAGTGTTCTCATATGAGGGCCCTCTGGCACTCGAGTTAAGCCAGTCGGGTCAGTATCATTCACCTAGGTCCCCATTGGCCATGTCACCAGGGCCTCAACCTGAGTCTACACTGTGTGCACTCAAGATTCAGTCCACTAGGAGGGGTGAGGATGCCTGGGTGGGGGATGGTGGGGGGAGGGGAAGCACCGGAAATATCTACAACTTACTTCACATCTGTTACATGCTGGTAAGTCTCCTAAGCTGCTTCATATACAGCATCAATTTGAATTCTCACAAAATCTCATTTCCTGGAGGAGTCTGAAGCACAGAGAGGTTAAGTAACTTGCCTAAGGTCACACAGTATGTTCTGACCAGAACTCTTCTGATAGCCAGGATGGGAGACCTTTTAAAGCTTGTCCCATGAAAGGGACACACTGTAGGTGTGGCAGGACTTCCACATCTCCCAGGGCAGGAGCCACTGGACCAGCAGGTTTCTGGCGGCCTGCAGCTTGGGAGCCAGCAGGACTGAGATGGGCTCTGGCCTCTCTCCCGGGAGCTTCTTGGGCATCTCGGCTTGGCATTTCTCTGCATGGTTGCTCTGTTCTCTCTTACACCTGGTCTCCAAGGCTATTCTGCCCGCTCTACTCCACAGTGGAGCTCAGTCTCTCCTCCTGGCCCCTGCGCCCACTGCTCCCAGTCTAGCTGAAGGAGTGACTGATTGGCCCAGCTCCTCCTCGTGATGATTGGCTGCCCTTAGGTCCAGGTGTCTGTGACCTGGATGGGCAAGACAAGCAGGATTGTATGGTTCAGTGCCATGAGCCCCGGCTCTGCAGGTGGATTGCTTAGATTTGAATCCCACTTTCTCCCTGTGTGACCCTGGGCAAGTGACTTCACCTTTCTGTGCTCTCGGCTCATCCTCGGAGGTAACAGTGCTATCTTCTCCATGTGAAGACTGAATACATGATGCTGTGTGAATGAATGCATGCAGAGCCCTGGCCCAGAGGACGCACTCTGCCACCACCGCTTGTTGCCATTATTATTACTGCCATCATAGATCACGGTGTGTCTACTTGGCAGGGGCAGCGAGTAGGGGAGGGAGTGATGGACACCCCTCCTACACCCAGCCAGCCCAGGGACTGCTCATCCTCATGCTCCTAACCTGTCTGTGAATCTGGGTGAAAGACTTCCTAAGGAAGGGGAGAGTTCAGGCTTCAGGCTTCAAGGTGTGTGTGTGTGTGTGTGTGTGTGTGTGTGTGTGTGTGTGTGTGTGTGTCTGTGTGTGCACGCACACGTGGAGAAGTAATGCCCCCTCTCCCGCCCCCCACTGCCGTTCCTGAGCCCCTGGGCTATGGCCTTGCTTTGTCTCTTATGCCCTGACAGTGGTGAGGGAGGGCTCTTCCCTACCTCAGCAGAGCACGGGTAGATGTGTGTGTAAATGATAGGCTTTTAGGGGGAAAGTAAGGACTGTGCCTCACAATCAGGAATCTTCCAGGATTACAAGACTCTGACTGCATCTGGGTAAATGAGCAAGTGGGTGCTGGGAGAGGAAGGCAGATCTTGTGGGCAGAGCTGCAAAGCCTGAGCTCCTCCCATCCTGGTCTGTGGAACACCTACTTCTCCCACCTCAGAGTCCTGCCTAGAAGTCTCTCTGCACCCCAACCCCGCCCCCCGCCTCCAGCTGCTGGGCACATTGGTGCACATCGCAGGCACAAGAAGCCTGAGGGCTCTGGTGCTAGGATGGCTCAGGCCTTCAGGTATGGGGCCCAGGCAAGGCGTGGGATGGGGAAGAAAGGCCAAGAGGAGGCTGAGTTATCCTAGCAAACAATAAGACATTGCACATGTGCACACCTACAAAGCACCTAGAAACATCTCTAGCTCACGGTGAGTGCTACCCAGGTGCTATTAACGCAAATGAAGATAGGTGAGACCGAAGAAGCCTGCCAGAGTCCGCTGACAACCAGAACACAGCCTCCTCGGGACCCCACACCTGCTGGAGAGAGGGGACACCAGCACGGGATTCGGTGCTTGCTTTGTGCCAGATAAGGTTCATTTAATCCCAACAGCCACACAATGAGATGTGACGATCATCGGCCCATCTTCCAGGCCAGAAGATGAAGGCTGAAAGAGGTTAAACAACTCTTTTTCTGTTCATTTGGAGCACGCCAAGATGATGTCTTTGCACCTGCTCTTCCCTGTCTGCAGTGCTTATGCTCTGCCCTAAAATATTCACAAAGCCAGTATACGAAGCTGTAACAAATCACCCCCAAATTTAATAGCTTACAATCACAAGTGTTTATTATCTCCAAGTTTCTGTGGGTCAGGAATTCTGGAGCAGCTTCAGGAGCACATGATGATGTTTATGGGACCTGGGCACTTTTGCCTTTTTTGGCCTCTTCCCTTTTCTAAGAATATTTGAAAAATTACATTTCATGATTGTGTTGGTATAAAGGTAAATATATTAGTGTTATAAATTAAAAACATGTTCTTTGACCTAAAAGTTCCTTCTTTCTCTGATTTTAAAGGAAGTGTAAAACATTTTCTCTAGTCCTAAATGTCTTGTGGGCGCAAGGCACGGTGCCTCTTGTGTTTAGTGGACAAATTGACCCTCAGTGGCTTAGCCAGGTAGTTCTGGCTCAGGGTCACTCATGTGGCTGCAGTCACCTGAAGGCTTGACTGAGGCTGGAGGGTCCATTTCCATGATGGTGTACTCATGGTTACTGGCAGGAGGCCTCTGTTCCCCGCTGTGGGCCTCGCAATGGGTTGACTTGAGTGTCCTCATTGACAGCTGCTTCCCCTAGAGTGAGAGAGGGGAAAGTAGGGTGGAATCCTTTCATGCCATATCTTGGAAGTCGTCCATGGTCAAATATCATTACTTCTGCCACATTATTCTTGTGAGTCATTAAATACAGCTTGCATGTAAGGGACATAGGGGAAGGGAAACTAGGCTCCACTTTTTGAAGGCAGTGGATAGACATATTCAAAAACCATCATACTTGACTTCAGACAGGCCAAGACCCTTCCCTAAGTCACCTAATTTTGACCCTTGTTGCCACCCTCCAAGTCCCCTATAACACATCACTCAACTTATCGCTATCAGAGATTACCTTGTTCGTTGATCCGATTGTCTGTCTGCCCCAGCTGGAAGGGAAGCTCCTCCGTGGGAGGACACCTTGTATGTCTGTTCTCTGCCGTTGTTCTAGGGTCTAGCATAAAGCCCAGCACCCATGAGTCTCTCAGTAAGTATTTGGTGAACGAAGGAATGAGAGAATGAATGAGCGTTGGGGGTGGTGGTGGGAGAACCTGCGGTCACTTCAAACTGGTGGTGGAAGGGGCGTGTGTGGAGAGGCCGAAGCGCTCTGCTTGGGGTTTGTTGGCCTGGGATGGTCTCCAAGGCCCAGGGGATTGGGAAGGAGGTCTCGTAGGGAAGAGCAGGGTAGAGCAGTAAGGGAGTGAGAGGCCTGGAGAGGCTGGATGACCAGAAGGCATGGGATTACCTTGTGAGTGGGGACCCCAGATTATAAGATCTAGTGGGGTCTAGTTGCTACAGATGTAGGAACAGGAAAATTACAATGCATTATGGCAGATGCGTTAACAGAAGTGTGTTCAGGACCCATTGGGCTGGACGCTGATGCTGACTGGTGATGGAGGACTTTGCTTTTGGCCACACCCTTGACTGTGGACTTTGCTCACTTGCGGAGGTGTTAGGGGATTGCTGAGTCCTGGGGAGACACTTGGCTTCTGGTCACTGCAAGACTGGCTCACCTGCCCGAGCTGCTCCATTCAGCCGCTGGGGGGCAGCAGAGGCCCAGGCTTGGCGGCAGCGCCCGGGCTCCTGCAGCCTCCGCCCTCAGAGCCGTTCTCTGCGGCCAGCTACCAGCAACCAGCTCCTGCTCCTGTAGGGGCAGAAGCTGCTGGGTGGGGTGGAGGTCCCAAGTTTGGGGTGTTCCAGTCTGTGCTCCTGCTGCTGAATTGTTCCTTCCACTCTCCCCTGAGCCTTCTCCTAGTATCCTTTCCTCCTCTACAAATCTTCCCCGAAGATGAAAGCAGGTGGGGGTAGGGTAGGGGCCTGGAAATTGTCGACTTCAGTAAAGGAGTTGGACTTTACCCTAAGAGCCATGGAAAGTTCACTGAAGTGCCTGATTTGTGTTTTCGGAAAGGTACCCCTGGCTACTGGGAAGCAGAAAGCACAGACAAGAAGCTGCTTCAATGGCCCAGGTGGGAGAGGAGTCGGAGAAGAACCAGTGAGACAATGAGGCGGATGGTGGGTACCCCCTGCTGGGACATGGGGAGAGCTGGGCTGAGTGCAGGGGGGCAGTGCTGAACCCCAGAATGAGCACACTATTGCAGTGGTGGCAGAGGGTTCAGGACACAGGGCACCCCGCCCAGATAGGCCTGAGTTCAAGGCCAGGATTCCCTTCATGGGGGTGACAGCAGGCAGGAGGGGAGCAGCCCCCCATCCTAGATGGACTGGCTTGCTAGAAAGTGACTCAGGAACAGGGGCCAGGGACGCACAGCTGAGCACAAAGTGAGGTGTTGGGCTTGACCGTGGTGGAGTCTCTGACCAGAGCTAGGCTCAGAAGGGCAGCTGGCCCTCTAATTCCTAAAGGCTGTTCTCTCATGCCATGTGCTCCAAAGGTGCTGTCACCAGACATCAGGGACAGTGTGAGGAAACCCTAGAGGATTAGCCTGGTCTTGGCCCTGATCTCGAGTTGACTGAAGCCCTACACTTTTCTACTTGGGACTGAATCCACAGGCCTCACCAGCCTTTGTGCCTGCTGCCTGCTGGCCTTCACCCCACCTGGCTCCAGGTCCTCCAGGTCCTCTAGATTGGTACTGAGCTGGAAGCTGGCTGTGTGATCACAGGTGGCCTTGTGCCCAGAGACTACACTTGGGCTGGCTCTAGCAGAGGGCCTCGCTGCCTCCCAGGGCTCATAAGGGGGACTGCTACTCTAAACTCTTGCTGTAGGTGGTGCAGGACTCATCCCTGAGCCTCCAGGAAGGTTTGGCCCAGAGACTGCATACAGTTGGGCTGGGTCTAGCAGAGGGTCTGGCTGCCTCCCAGGGCTCATAAGGGGGACCGCTCCTGTAAACTGTTGCTGTAGACGGTGAAGGACTCATCCCTGAGCTGCCAGGAAGGTTTGGGCTTGTGCCCCTCTCCCCCTTCCCACCGGCTGTTACTGGCATCTACAGCATTCTCTCGCTGCTCTCTTTTACCTGGCCAACTCCTAGTCATCTTTATGTCTCAGTTTAAATGCCACTTCCTTGGAAACAATTTTAGTGCACCCATTATTCTTTCTCAGAGCATCCTTTGCTTTTCCTGCAGTGTATTTATTACAACTTATTATACTTTTATTTTGAGTGAGAGAGTGAGAGAGAGAGAATGTGTGTGTGTGTGTGTGTGTGTGTGTGTGTGTTAACATCTTGACCCCCTGAATAGACTGGAAGCTCCCTGGAGACTGGAAGCATGTCTGTTTTACTCATCATTATAGTCCCCAGGCCTGGGATACTGCAGGCACTCTAAAAATATTTGTTGAATGGGTGAAGGAAAGAAAGAATAAATGCATTATGGATGCCCCTGGGGACGCCATATGTGTTGGGAATTCATAAAGCCAGAGTAAACCTGGCATCTCACTGGATCATCAATTTTACTTGATGGTAAGGAATTAGAAGTATTCTATTTACTTATTAATCAAATATTTTACATTACAAAAGTAATACATGTTCCTTGTCAAAATTCAATCAATAGGTGTTATTTTTATATTGAAACAAACTCTGACACATTATGGAGTAAAATGAAAAGTTCACTTGACTTTTAAAGAGAAAATAGGAGGCTTCAAAGACATTTTGAGCTTAAGAGGGGCCAGACTGGCCTGTGGTGCAGGCTCCTGCAGGGATGAGGTCACTCCTGTGGGTTAGGGCACCTCCATGGGAGAGGCTGAGAAACTGCTGTTAGGCAATTGCACTGTTGTTGGCATTGTGGCTGCAGAGCCCGGGTGCTGACTGCATTTGGAGAGAAAGCAAACGCCCGCTTTATATAACGAGAAGTGGGCTGGTCAGACTCCAGGGGCAGGGGCCTGGAGGAGAAAAGTGTTTTTACAGAGGAGTGGGGATGCAGCGAGGCTTTCTAGGGGGTATCAGGAAGGAAACCTTCCTGGCAATGATATAATAAAAATCCTTTGCAAAGAGTGAGAGAGTTTACCCCCAGGGCGAGGGTGCTGTAACAGGTCAGCCACTTCAGAGGGGCTGGCTGTCCCAGGCTGGGGGCATCAGGGTTGGGGAGTACCGGGGAGGTGGGGAAGTAAGTGGCGGGGGATGCCATTGGATTGCCTGAAGGGGTAACCCACGGCCATCCAGGGAGACCAGCATTGAGCGGGCCATGGAGAATGACACTGTTACGTGCAAAATGTACAGCTCGAGGTGGAGTCAAAGATGTGGGCCTGGAGCCTGACAGATCTGGGTTCAAACCCCAGCTCTGCCGTTTTTAGTGATGTGACTTTGGTCAAGTCCTTTCCTCTCAACCTCATTTGCTCCATTGGCACAAGGGGAATCCTGATCACCATCCTGAAGGGGGTTGTGATGGTTCCATTAGGAATTTGTTCTCTGCACGTTCAAATCACCTGGGTAGTGTTTTAAAAAATACTGATGTCTGGGCTTCAGCTCAACTACCTGAAGCAGAATCTCTGGGAGTGCATCCCCAGCATCTAGGATGCTTTGGCAGAGTCCCAGGTGATTCCGTGTGCAGCCGGGGAGAATCCCTGCCAGAGGTGATCTGAACACAGCCTTATGATTGTCTCCAGCAGAGGAAGAGGCTCTGGCTGCCCCAGGCTTTGTGGTCAGTCCACAAGCTGCTTTGTGCCTCTCACTGGGCTTTTCTCCTCTGCCTGGCTTGTTTGCTCTTTGTCTGGGTCCCAGCTGTCAGGGACAGGGCACGAGCCAAGTGCCCACCGGGATGCAGCTGCTTTCTGTCCAGTGGCCTTGGGAGTGACAGACAGATGCAGACCTACCGGGAGAATGACGCAGGGGTGGACAAGCCAGGCCGAGAGCGAGGAACACTCCTCCTTCCCCGCAAGGAAGATCCAGAAAGAGATTGACTTGGTGCTAAACTGGAACTGCACCAGAAGCCCCGGGGATTGGGGAAGGGGTGTTAAAATACAGATCGCCAGGTCACCCATCCCAGGGCATCGGCTTTGGTAGGTCTAGGGTGGGGCTGGGAATGTGCACTTCTGACAGATTCCCAGGTGACACTGCTGCCCCCTGGACTACGCTTTGAGAACCACTGACTTAGAGGCCCACAGAGAAGTCAGCTACACACCAGCTCCGCCCACACGTACCCAGAGCCAGAGAGCAGCAGGCCCAGAGGATTGGCGGGCAGTCAAGCAACCCACAGACACACTCTAGTCAGAGGAGGCACCGAGGAGGCGAGAGACCCAGACGCACATCAGCAGAGCTGGGGAGACAGGGACCCCAGTGTAGACCCAGGGAGGAGACACCTAAGGGACAGAGGCAGTGACATCCTGGTCCCTCACCCCAGCTCAGAGAATGACCTCGGGAGAGAGAGTGGTAGGCTGACCCAACGACAGACAGACAGACCTACTGGAGGACAGAGTAGGGTGGAGATTGGCAGTGTGAGAGCACCGAGCAGTCGGGGGGAACGACAGATAGATAAACTGACTGGAGGACAGAGAGGCGGGTAGAGATTCGCAGTGCGTGAGCGCTGAGCAGCCGGGGGGAGCTCTAGGGTGTGCTGGTGCCAACGTGTACCCCTCAATTTTCAGGACATTTGCCAGTGAATTGTAAACCCTTAATTGTTGGAAGTTAGCCCTGGTGGGATTGTTCACCCTGGGTGAACACCCTGTAAACCCCATGTGCTGGCGACTTTAGAAGCAATGGCTCCTCTTTTCTGGCCTAGGTTTGACCCATGTGGGACTTTTTGCCGTTCTGCTCAAAGGTCAGGTCCTGCCACCTCCTCCAGGAAGCCTTTCTGACTGCTCCACCCATGCGGCAGATGCTTGTCTCCTGGGAGTTCTGTGGCGTCAGCTTCTCAAGCCTTCTGTGGATTTTTCAGGGCTTTGGTTCATTATTTCTGGTGTGACTCTGGGTTGCGTCACCCCCTTCCCGGCCCTCAGTGTCCCCAGTGGGGATTGGCTGAAGGATCCCTAGGGCCTCTTCCACTTGAACTAATTTGTGTTTAGTCTCTCTTTCCTACCTTTTTTGATTGTGTTCCCCTGTCCTTGAAATTTTCTTGAGTAAGGCCCATCAATATATGTATGTTCATTTATGAAACCTGTACATACATTATGAGACATATATAAAGTATAAATTTAAAAGGATGAGATAAAAATACAAATAGAAGTTACTATGTGTGTATATATACACACATATAAATATATGTAAATAAATATATATTTATATATTTATTTTCAACAGTGCTTGAGAAGTAATATAAATATACAGTAACTGTAAATATTCTATTACTGTTATCAAATAATCAAAGAACAGGGGTAGCTGTTCGCTCATTATCTGATAATAACAGTAATAGAATATTTACTCAGCGCTCTTGCTATGAGCTGGGTACTGTGCTAATTGCTTTACATGAATTGACTCTTTTAAGCTCCTTAACAGCCCTATGAGGTGGGCACCATCATCATCTCTACTTCCCAGGTGGGGAGACTGAGGCACAGAGATGGTGGGTAACTTGCCCATGATCACACAGCCAGTAGATAGTGTGACTGGGATTTGAACCCTGGTCCAGCCACCAAGCTCAAGTCACCTGTTAGAGGGCAATTGACGGAGGTTCTGCCTCCAAGCCCTGGTCCCTCAACCGGCATGCTCCCAGACGTGAGGACCACGCTGTCTGTGTCTGTTTTCTTTTTTCTTCTTCTTCTTTTCTTTTCTTTTTTTTGAGACTGAGTCTCACTCTGTCACCCAGGCTGGAGTTGGAGTGCAGTGGTGTGATTTCAGTTCACTGCAACCTCCGCCTCTGGGGTTCAAGCAATTCTCCTGCCTCAGCCTCCCGAGCAACTGGGATTACAGATGCCCACCACCACGCCCGGGTAATTTTTGTAGTTTTAGTAGAGACGGAGTTTCACCATGTCGGTCAGGCTGGTCTCAAACTCCTGACCTCCAGTGATTCACCCGCCTCGGCCTCCCAAAGTGCTGGGATTACAGGTGTGAGCCACCGCGCCCGGCCCATGCTGCCTGTTTTCATTAGAACCACTGCTAAATAGTCTCTGAGAACTTCTTGGACTTCTGGTGTCCTGT